AACGTAGGTGGCGCAACATTAGGGGTATAACTCAGATCTCGTCCAGGAATAGCTGCGGTTCGTCCCCTTGGAGAGGGCTTCACCGTGTCGCCAACCTAAATTGATTGAACTATATTTTGGCACCCAATAAAACTTCAGAAGATAGTGTGGTACACAAGAAAAGTCTCATTATTACGACTGCAAAAAAACACACTGGAGACAAATCTACCTTAGCCGGAACAACAGGCAGAAAAGAGCTCTTCGAAGAAATCAAGGAGCCATTTAGAGAAGGAGAACCAGTAGTTCCATTCAATGTTGATGTATTCAAAGGAGATGATTTGGCACTTTTCGCCGCCAGAAACTTGAGTTGTCTTTGAGTACTGGAAATTATATTAATCGTGTAGTAGTGGGTGACCCTAAAATATGATCAAACATCTCATATCGTATATTCGCACTTTATAGGATTCGGGGTATCATCTGTGTCCTTCGCACTGCCCATCTTTAACAACGGTGAATCACCATAGGGGCATGCTGCGATCTGTGCATCCAGGAGCGCCATTTGAATCTATAAAATTTGCGAATAAGTATTATATGCGTCTTTTATCCATAGCCCCACAGTTCTTCAATTTTGAATGAGAAAAGTCACGTTTGTCAAAAACTCTTGCTCACGCAACCAACCTGAGCTTGATTAACATCAGAACCTAGTACGATTGGAGCAGCAGCAGGAACATTTATTGTGGTTGGAGCAGCGGCACCAAAACCTGTAAACGGTATAGTTGAAATCCTAACTTATCTAACCCAACCACACCCAGACCACTTGACAGAATTACTTTTTAAAGCAATTTAGAGAAAAACTCACTAGTATTCGCTTGCTGATTTGCAGTATTTGCTCCAAATAGTGACGTCTGTGCTGGTTGTGTGCTACCAAATAGACCAGTACTTTGCTGAGCAGGTTGACTGCCGAATAATGAACCTAAGACCGTCAATTTCTCAATCACTTTTTAAAAACGACTGAAGATCATAGATGAAACTGAGTATTGGTTTCCCGTAATAGAACTATTATTATCGCCTTTTATAACCGAACGAGGCAAGAATCCTCGCGCTGATTAGTTAAGTAGAAAACAACACCATGATAACAGCATTTGGTGAAGCTACAAACTTGATGCTCCGATTCTGAGCCACATATGTAGATAAACGCCACATCGTTGGGGTAGTCAGCATCCTCATACTTTTCAGTAGGTAAAATGGGCAGAGTTGATAAGCAGTGAAAGTGAACCTACCTCCAGTAGTGTTAGTAGTGCTGCCAAACAATCCACCGGGCTTCTGAGTATTACCGAAAAGACCACCTGACGTTGTTTGACCTGAATATATTTTCAATATTAACTTTGAACTTTCTGACATGTCGCCGTTGTAACGAACAAATGATTCATTGAAACGCAATGACTCACCAAATGTCGTATTCGATGGAGTTCC